AGTATGCTAATTATATGCAAATTAAATATGCTAATTATATACAAATTAGCGCCCCTCTTTAAATTTTATTTGTGGAGAACACTGAGTGGGCGTGGGATGGCCATGAACATGCGCACATTAACTGAATCTCTGTGATGATTAACATGAAGCCCTCAGCCATACAATCACATTTGGATGTTGACAAGCAGAAACTTGAGGGAGATCATGATATTGGAGAGGGGAGGAGAGTTTGCGCAGGGAAAAAAATAACCAATATCATACAGAAACAATAAAAAAAAACTTTATTTATAAAAAAAATTATAACTAAACATAACAACATACAGGAAACAAAATTTACAGTAAGATCTTTCTTATAACAAATCTAGGCCGCAGTTACACCATTCCACATTGTCAGCATCCTTTATTCGATGTTTTTGTCATATTACCTCAAACACTGCAAGTGTGCATGGAATCATGGGAAGAAACAGTGTGCATTGCCGTGTGATAACTGTTAGAAAGGTGATTGACAGGTCATAATTGTTTTCAACTTTGGAAGGACAATTGTAATCTACCAGGTGTACTGTTATTTGAATAACAAAGGATGTTTATGATCTACGGAGTTGTCTACGTGACACAGCTACTAGCAAGATCACATTCTGATTGGCTCATGTGGAAACACAGGTGGTGACACTGAATTTGGGCCAGTTATGCCTATAAATTGAACAGACTGAGGACAGTTGGGGTCCATCATTTCTACTGTGTATAGCTACTGTGATATTGTGAAGCAAGTGATACAGGCTTCAACCATCATTCTGTGAGATTTGTATGAACTGCTCTGCGATCTCCTGCTTTCAGCGGTGCCCTCCAGAATACCAGCGTTCCTCTGCAAGCAAGACTCATGTATTTCTTCGTCGTTGTGTTGCAGAAGCCATTGACTGGTAATCCATCTGTGAGTTATCACCGATGCACACTTCTTTAAGCAATCCCCTATTTAGTGAATTATCATTGTATTTTCTGTGTTTGTTTCGTC